CCCCAAGCTAACTCTCTCTCTTTCGCCGCTGCAGCCGTGTTGCTTTTTGTTTTTTTACCAAATATGGGCTCGTAGTCACTATATGCTTGTAGTACATGCTTGCACATCCATTTCTGTCGGGGAAAAAACGCAGACCTATTTTTGCTTGGTCCTGTTGCCATGGTGACTCGTAATGTCTTCACTCCATTGTTCAGGGCTTTTTATAGTCGCGTGACACGTGCCTATCTCTGAGTCAAACTACTCAGAGTTGATGAAACCAACTCTTTTCAGCTGTTCTGAAACTGAAAACTCCAAGTTTTCCAACTCTGTGTAAATCAACTCAGAGTTCAGGTTTGAACTCTGAGTTTGTTAAACCTCCTTCTTGAAACGGGCCCCAGGTCTGCCCCTTTTAGACATATAGCCTTGTAGGTAATGTTTTTTTAACCATAAGTTGCTACCTGTATGTAGTGTGAGGGTGAGAAGACCGCCACATGGAACAGATTCCTTTTACATCAAGCTACACATGGGGAAAATACCAACAGCAGTCAGCTCTAAGTGTATAGATAGGATTAAAATGTAGTTAACTGGGCATCAAAGGCCACATGCAGTTTTCATGTTACCAAGACGGAATAAAGCCCATGTTTTGAACAGAGTTAGCCGGCCTCCCACTTCACTTCTCCCCGCTGGAAAAGCAGCATTCTCAAGGTTCAATTTTAATGATATCCTCAATATCGCAATTAATTTGTTCCTATATGACTTATATTTTTCTTCCGCCTTCTTTGATCTGTACTTTATGAATTCCTTATATAACACATTCTTCTTTTTACATGCATTCTGTAATCCCTTACTCATCCACGGTTTCCCACTGTAATTCCTCTTGTTTTTATACTGCTTACGAGGACAGTTCCTGTCATATACTTTCATGAATATATTTAAAAATTGCTCATATGCTTTGTCTAAGTCTTCCTCTTTGTAAACTGCTTCCCAGTCTTGCCCTATAAAGTCCTCTTTTAGCCTACTTACAGCATGTTCGCTCATCACCCTCCTATAAAAAAGATTTGTTTTTGGCCTTTCTTTTCTATACTGGCAGTCATAAACCAAAAATACAGGTAAATGATCACTAATATCATTTATAAGTAATCCACTAGACATTTTGCTATCAATATCATTAGTAAATATATTATCTATTAGTGTCGCATGCTGGGTTGTTA